GGGGGCGCTTGCAGGTTTAAGTAGTCGAAATAGGTCGAGTGGGAGAACCGAAGAGGTGACTGAGCAAGTAAGTCCGATGTGGAAAAGCAAGCAACTCAGGATGTCCGGTAACCTGACGCAGAACGAGAGTTAGCCAGCTATCATCTGAAAGGCTTTCCGGCAGCTGATAACAAGAGAGACCGCGGAATCCAGTGATGCTCATGCGCGCAAGATCCGATCTGATACTGGCGGCTTCCGGGCAGTGCGTGTCCAGGTGCAGGCGAGAGCTGCATGGCAATCTGAGTTTTCGAGGCCCATAAACATCGGGCTATGCATTTTGTTGCATGGACGGTAATCCACCACCCCGCCGGACGGTTCAGGAGAGACGAGACGAGGCCGACCTGCAAGGGTGGCTGGAAGTGCCGGTGTCGTCCAAACACCTGCTTCTGTTGGCGTTCGCCCAAACTGCTTGGCACTGCTTCCGGCGAACCCCGGCTTAGGGGCGATGTGCGGTTTCGGCTCCGGGAGGCACTCCGAAGACTGAGAACGGATCCGCGAAGACGGAGAAGCGGCCGTAATGCGCCTAAGCGGATGGTCGATCAAGAACTCGACGAGCCTGACAGAGGACACGCCTGGTATCGAATCGCAGCTGGACCTCTCTGAAGGCCAATGCCAATATGCCACTTCACCCACAAGGTGGCACTTGGAAGACACGGTGGAAGTTCGTTGTCTCATCCGACACTACGCGCAACTACATGCCGGAATCGAAGATGGCCGATGTTTCCGGACACCTCGAAAAGCAGTCGAAACTTCTTCAGTTCTCCTCACCTCCGCACTTCTCCGGCTGCTGCGCAAAGTCGTCTCCCATAGATCCAAAGTGCCATAGTGTCGATGGGGGGCTGCTGCTGCCTGATGATCGCGGAATTGTTGCAGGCGCGGTAACAAGCCCTAGCATGTGGCCTTGGCGGCATATCGAAGTGCTACCGTCTCCATCATATCGGTTTCCGGTCCGAGTGCTGGGGAGCCCACAGAACGCATTGGGGTGGCCATTTTCTCGTCTCGTCTCCTCCTCTTGCAGCTTGCGCAGACTCTTCCGCGCTCCGGCCAACTTTCGCAATTGTGTTCCGCCTGCCCAGTGCATTGCATCGCAGCATCCGCCCCATCCTGGCTCAACCGAAGCCCGCCGTAGAAAGTTGCCGTCCGCAGGGTGTGAATATGTGGTCCGTGTCGTTCGCAGTCCAGGATCCTCGGCGCGCATTTGGCGAAGCATCGACATATCATAGGTCACACGCATGTACAAGAAAACTCCAGACCATACTCACTTTTAATCAGCAAAAGTTTCCAATGGGATCGCAAGTTGTCGTCCTGTCTTTCCGCGGGAAGAGACGGTTCGAATCGAATTATGCAGCTCGAGGCGCAAAGATGGAACTAACTCCTGGTATTTCGTCGGAAGATGCGCGAGATCGCTGCCCTAAAGGTAGAGAGTACAGGAAGAGGAGGGAATTCGAATTGATCGAAGCAGAAACAACTCGCTGGTGGTTTTTCTTCGAACGAGCGCTTTGCAATGGGGGTAAACCGACAGTGGGCGCGAAGTGGAGGGACCGAAAGGGAGTCGCGGGAACTTGTCGAGAGAATAGGATATGCCGGGGCAAAGGGAGCAAGCAAGCAAGGTGTTGCACACGGACAACGGAATGGCAGCAGAAAACGCAGCAAAAAGATGCTTGAAATCGCAAGATGATGGACGAGACGATGGGATGTACGAACACACAAGTACAACGAATTGAGTTTCGAACGGGACGCGGAAAAGCAAAAGGGAAAGGGAGGGAAGAAAAAAAGGACGCCTTTTCTCGGAGTGACGGGGATGGTTGTTGAAAAGACAAGAAACTCTGACTGAGTGGAGCGAGATGTGGAACTCGTCGTGCTCTTGTGGGAAGAAAGGCAGCCATGGCAGCAAGCGTGAGGGAAAGCATCGCACGCACCACAAGCAGAACGAACCCTGGTCAGCTATGGCGGGGCAGGAGCCAAGAGGAAGTGTGGTGGTTCGGTAAAGGTACTCGCGGTGAGAGTTTCCGGCATGCATTTTCTGTACGTGCCTGAACACAGAACAGCCAAGCAGGTACTTCTGCAACCGGGACTTTCCAGCAGCAAAGTACCGCATGCATGCATGCAAGACAACCTGTCGCAACTTCGCTGGACAAAATGTCTATGGTTGTGGCAAGACATGCAAGGGCGCTGCATAACTGAATCTTGCTCAGGAGACAACGACAAACCAAACTGCATGTGCTATGCATAAGGTGTCGACTTACAGAAAATGGGTCAGCGGTACTTGCAATCGAAGAAGCCGAAGCCCCCGGTGAGAGAGGCACAATGACAAACACGCGCAAGCTTCCTTCCCAAGTTTCGGCCCTAAGACAGAGATCATGGCGCGGGTGTGGATGGAGTGGATGGGAGAGGATGGGTGCATGATTCGGAGAGCGAAACAGAACAACAGGAGTAAATTTTGAGTGGTGGAGCAAGCTGGGGGAGTGTCCTTAGAGTTCCATGCCGCCATGTGGGAGGTGTAAGTCTACCTCTCCAGCTCCTCGATTGACTTTACCTTCCAACAACATCATTTCGACGTCGACACCCAACATCTTCCTTCCTTGGAGCCTTCAATGAAGACTTGAGATAACACGGTGTCTTGTCCTTTGGCCTCCACGAGTGCCTAAAAGTCACTTCCTTTGGATGACGGGAGCAGCATTCTTCCAGTCAGCCCGGGAGCCACGATGGATTTCTCTCCACCCAATTCAAGCGCTTGGCTCGCTTGGAATTGCCAGAAGTTGGCGATGGGTTCTGGCGACAGAACGCGAGTCTGAAGTCTTACTTCCAACTTTCCTCCCGCCCGCTCAGGACATTTCTTCCGTCTTTTACCAGATGCAGTTTGCTACGTATCTCTGAAGAACATGACCAGATAGATGCCAGGATGCAATGGAAAGCAGCCATCTCCCGCATCCTCAGCGGCCGGTTCCGGGATGCCAGAGCGTGAGATGTTGACTAAGACATCAGCACTTTACGCGTGTGTCCATTGTCGCTCGTTTCCCAATCTTCATGCGACAAACAGTTGCTGACCGGTGCGACTTGGGGCCATATCCCCCCGAATCCGCAAAGTCTCACTGGCCGGTTGTGTTTTCCAATTGTTTCATTCAGCAGAAGAGACAATCAATGGGCAGTTGTGGCAGTTATTAGGCGCAAACACCAACCTGTCGTCATGTCTTCGTATGCCTGCTACCGTCGCACCTGTGTGACCACGGCGCAAATTGGGCAGAAACCGACACACAAGCACAGAGATCTATCTCATGGGGGCAACCAGTGTACACCCTGAATCTGCACCGGCATAGTGTACACAATGGTCTTTCATGATTCTCGTATTGCGACTTCTTGAGCACCTTAGTGTACGAGATGCGAAGCTCTGCCACGCCGTCGGCAACACAAGTGGCAGATCTGGGGCTTGATTGGGCTGATCACGTCACGAACCGCGGCCCCAGTGGACGCGTTGATCGACGGCACCCCTGCCCATCACGAACGCCCGGATCTTTTTGGGACATTGAAACGCGTTCGTCATCGGTCATCCATTGCTGTCCAGCTGGCTTCAAGAGCGCAAGTGAACTCAGACGGTCTGTAGTATCATGATGTTCTCCCACTTGCTACTGAGAATCTTCCACTTTACTTCCTTTCAACGGCCATCCTCTCCGAAGCCTCCATCCCAACGACAACTCAATTCTGCCCCCAGCCGAACACGCACGCCCCGGGCGTATATCCATCAGCATACCAAGGTTTGCTCTCTTTTTCCTGCTAGCAACACTCTCTCCTCCGACCGGCATACCCCATCCCTTGCCTTCATCCAAGATCATGATCCGATCTCGTCAAAGATGGAATCTTAATGTAAGTAGGTGCAACCAGCGGCGTTTCCTCGTTGATGCCATTTGTGGCCGTACACACATGTGACCGTTAGCAGTCTTTTATGTTTCAAGTCTGCGACAGAGAAGGACATCCCGAGAGGGAGACACCGGTTGCACAGGCTCTGACGTCCAGCCAGCCAAGCCACGTTGTTCAGAAGAGTTCGTGTCCACTCCGCGACATCCGGGCTTCCGTCCTGAGCGGCCCTGTCGATCTTCAGGGGCCCACCGTTCCCGGCGAACCGGTTTCTGAGCTCGGGCACCTCTACCTTGGTGCCGTTCTGACTACGACATCACGGCTTCCGAAGACGGCACTATCCTGCGAGCTTGGTCGCGCCTTCATCATCTGCACAGCCGCCCAGAGCATACAGATATCAAGCGATACCTGTGCCAAGGCAGACAAAAAGCACACCCTGCTGCTACCTACCTCTCCCTCACTTGAAACCCTCTCGGATAAGCTCAAGGCATAGTTCGCCGTCAATGACTCGCCCGGCATACCTCAAGGCATAAATGAGGTAGAAAAAAAAGCTTGTCGCCGAACGTCTATTATTCTTCCCGAGATTCCCACGAGGGTCGCCATGCCGTTGCCAAGCCTGTTGCCAACAAAAAAAGTTCAAGCAAGGCTCGCTGTGGAGTGTGCTTCGTCTGCAAGTGCCTCCATGGCATCCGAGTTTGGTAAGGTATGTGCTCGAGTCGAAGCAGAGTTCTAGACTGCGCGGCCGGGAGTCGTGCTTGATGGTATGTGGAGTGGGGGTAGGAAGGTTGGAGGTCGGGTCTGAAGAGGATAGATGCTGGCATAGGCGAGCAGGTGCGTTGGTGTCGATGCTTGCGGTCCAAGTCGAGCCCAAGATAAACCTGGTTCTCAAGTTAGGAAAGCACATCGTTGCCAGAAAGCAAAAGGGAGTCGTCCTCCTCGGATAGTCCCTCGCGTCTCCTCGGATAGTCCCCTTGGCCATGCCCGCCCCTATCCACAAACCTGCCGCCCTCCAAGCTATGCAACAGCCCTCCCTCTCAAGTCGAACACCATGCAAAAGCAAAAGGGAAAAAGGAGATAGACAGCTTCGGAATAACCACCAGAAAAGCAATTGCGCCAGCCGCGAATCGAACGCGGGGCCCATCGAGACATTGTGTCACCGAGTCAGGGGGAAATCTGAAACTTTTGTGATTTATGGCAACGATGGATTTTACCACTAAACCACTGGCGCTTTGTTCTTTGTGGATGTTCGTGTCTTTTTGGTTCTGTTCGTGCGTTATCTACTCCCTGGGTTCGTGTCACCCCTAGGACGAGGCAGATGGAGACGGAGTTGCTGCGTCATTGCATGACCTACTTGGCGGAAGTTGAGTTTGCCATGTACTGCTCTGCCCCGGAAGGTAGAGACGCACATCGCTTGGGTTGATCGGGGCAGGCAGTACAAACCTTCACGGCGTGTAGGCTTCGCCTCTTCGAGCAAGCAAGCTGAGGCGATGTAAGTCTAGTATTCCTGGTGTCGTATCGTCTTCGCCCCAGCTTCCACTGGTGTCTCACAGCCGGCCCATTGCAAGGCACGAGTGCGAATCCTAGGTATTCTGAAGAAGTTTCATTCGGTCGTCACGATGTGGCCGAGCCTTCCGTGTCGCTGTGATGAGGACAATTATCATATTGTCATGCCTCCAATTTGCCCGCGTGTTTGGAGCCCGGTCGTCCCAACGTCGGCTTCTACGAGTGTGGCTAAGTTGGTAGCATCCAACCCTCTTAACATATCCCCAAGATGAACTCGGCGGAGCAGAGTGATCATGTGTCTCTTCGTATCTACCACCGGAAAGCCATCCCTCTGCAGATGGGCATGAAGGTGTGGAAAGGGGGCTACCCTATATCCCGATGTCAACAAAAACACCAAAACCCCCAACAACCAACCGCTAACAACGGGACAGAGCAACTCCAACCGACCTCTTCAAAGACCAAATGACGGTTCCATTCCTACCCCCAATAATAGCACAGCTCGCTATAGCACATCAGCGTCGGTCTTGGCAAAACAGCCTGAAAAGACGGCCCGGGTTTACCTCTCTCTGTATCTCTGCCGTCCCCAACAACCGGTCTCTTCCCGTCCCAGCCACCCTTCTTGTGGTTGTCTCCAAACGGACGGACGGCTCGTTGGGGATGTTGATGCAGGTACAGATTGGGCTTAAGATGGGTGTTATGGGTGCTCTTTCGGGGTCGTGGCTTAACGATGGCCTTTTCGGGTGCTCTGGAATTCCCGGAGTGGTGGGACTTGGATTTGTGAGTTGGAACTTCCCCCTTGTTGGTTCTAGGCTTCGATGCGGATCTACGGACAGTCCGAGGCTGTTCTGCGTTGTTTAAACGGCTTGACTAGGTTTCTGGCCGGATGTTACGAAGACTAAGGATGCGGGAAGTCTTCTATTTTATCAGGCAGTCAGAACTTCGAGAAGGTTGTGAGTGGAAAGCGTGTCACTCCCGTCCACGACGCTACGCAGCCATTGTACCTCATCTTTATCCTTTATCAGCTCCGGGACTGGACCCCCCAGCGTCTTTCCCAAACCCGACGCACCACGACCCATGCAAGACAAAAGCCGCCCACTGGTAAGGCCGTCTGGTTGTCCTCTCGGCCCGGAGTTTCAGCACCGCCCGCCGCACCGCGAACGCCATATTAAAAATGCCGCCGCCGCCCTCTGCTGCCGAACTCGAATCCGTTCCGCCAACCTTCCTCTTCCCCTCCTGCACCCCGAGCTCGGCGTAAAAGGCCTCGGCGAACTCGCGGCCCGTCCGCGACGCCGTCGGCCAGATGGTCCCCGCCACGGACGCGGCGCCCGCGCACAGCAGCGCCGTGACGAGGCCGAGCGGCTCGTCGCCCGCCGCAATGCCCTGCGACACCGAGTCGCACGCCACGAGGGTGATGTGCGGCGACCCTCTGAGCGTCAAGTCAAAGACGTTGCGGGCAGACAAAGCCCCGTTGCCCAGCTCTAGGCTCTGGTCGGCCAGGACCCGGCGGTCGAGGAGGCAGTGTCCGTGGAAGTGGCAGAGGGCCGAGTCCCGGAGGGCGGAGGCGAAGAGCTCCCGGGTCGCGGCGGCGCCCACAGCCACGGTGCTCGCCCAGTGTTTGGACGCGAGCTCGGCGATGGACCGATGGACCGCTTCCTGCTCGGTTTGGTGGAAGCGCCGGCGCGGTGCGGGCTCGTACACGCCCACCATTGTCCACGGTCGGTTCTGGTTTGTCGATGCGGCTGCGGCGGTTTGGGCTCGTTGGCAGCATTGCCAGAAGGAGGTTAGGCTCGCGCAGTATACGACCGCATTCTGGGAGATGACTGGTTGCCGCTCGGATATGAACAAAGCGTGGAGTGGGATGGAGTGAAGGATCCCCGTCGGACAGAATACGAGCAGGTCGCCTTCGGTTGTGCGTCCTCGCAGCGGGGCAACCAGCTTGTCCAGGCTGCGCAGGGGGTATTTGTCTTCTTCTTCGTCATCGTACACGTCTTCCAAGGGAGGATCTCTGCCGGCTTCGGCGTCCAGCCACTGCTCCTTCCAGGCCGTGACCTCGGTCGCTGTCAACCCGCAGCTTGACCAATGTGGTAGACCATCCTTCCGCAGCACGACGGTCCAGATATCATCCTCAACCTCGACCCATCCACAACGACAAGGTCGACTCGCGGGATGCCGCTGCTCGTTCCCTCCCGTCCGAGACGGAGAATCTGGTCGCGTGTGACAGGCGTGCCGTTTCGAAAGTCGAGAACGGCTTTGAGCAGCGGCTCTTGCGCCATGCGCCCGTGCAGGGTATGGAGTACCCCCCGTAACCTGAGGCGTAGTGCCGCGTCGCTCATGGCGATACGCTGAGTGAGCTCCTCCTCCTGGGTTACAATTTCCCGGAGACGCGGTTCCCGCATGATTTCCTCCCGGAGCGTCGCGGGAATCAACATGCCAACCCCCGGTTGATCCGACAGACTTCGTGCCTTGGCCCTTTGCACCCAATGCCAAAGCTCGACGACCTCCCTTCTCTCTGACAGACGTGAAAGGCTCTCTTGTACGTGTCCCTCAGGTCCTTGGCGGAGGTCGACTGTTGCCGCCTCGACACGTCCTCGAGAGACGTGAAGACCGTCATGTCCGCCCGCAAATCAGCCCATGCTTCTTCCGCCTCCTGCAGGGTATCGAGCGCTTCCGAGCCGCGCCTCATTCCCCGGAGCCAGGCGTGATAGACGTAGAAAGAGCGCCACCGAGCCGATGCGGCGATCGGACTCGTATTCTCGACGGCTCGGAAGGCTTCGATGGCGAGGGAGATGAGTTCAATACAGCGCTCGAGAGTAGCCGCAGTCGGCACTTGCTCGAATCCGGAAAAGACAGCCAGCGCCTGCATCTGGCGGGCCGAGGCAGCTTCAACCAGACGGTGATGCTTCATGTATAGCGTAACGGCCTCTTCGAAATAGGCCTCACATCTGTTGTGGTGATCCGTGCTCATCCTCCCCATTCGCCCATCACTGAGGAGAGCCAGGGCGCGATCTTGACACACGGCAGCCGTCCGGATGTCACCATCCTCCGGCATCGTGTTGCAAAGGCTCCGCGCGGCTTGTTCCATTCGATCCAGCCACTCGTCACGCCTAACAACGTCGTTCCTGGGCGTGAAGATCTGTCTGACGAGGAGTTCCATCTTTTGGATGGCCGGTCCTACCATCCCGTTCCTCAGGTCCGACGCGATCTCGGACTCGGTAAAAGCGATGATGCTTTCTTCCAACGCGATGGACCTCGTGGCCTTGAACGTCTTGAGCCGAGCCTGGATGATCAGGTGCGATGTATCAGCCCTCTCAGACGGAAAGAACTCGCCGAATGTGGTCACCCCCCTAACAGCCCACGTTTCCGAACTGTCAAAGTCCTCGAGCTGGGCATATGCCTGGGCCAGGATGTTGCGGGCCATCCCCTTCAGCAACCGACAGTCCTCTTCGCCGATGAGTGCATCCAGGGCTGTTGCGCCTTCGATCACCCTCCCCGCCTTGCCGGAATGCGTAAGCCACGTAGCGAGAAGCCGAAGCTGGTTCATGTATGATTCCAGGGTCAGGCCTGCCACCTTGCCAAGCTCGTCTTTCATGTTGGCGAGGGAAAGTCGAAGATCGAAGGCTTGCCAAGGGGCAATGTTCATTAGGATGGCCTCGATCGCTATCTGAAACGGGGATAAGGCGTTGTTAGTCTCATATGTCTCGAAGTATCCTTTGAGCTCGCCAACCAGCTCGTCGGTCAGATACATGTAGTCCTTCTTGATGGCCTTGCCAACTTGTTGAATCCTCAAATCGATGGCGCCATGCACATGCCCCTCGCTGTCGAAGAGCCGGGCGGCAGTTTCCCGCAGCTTATCCAATCGTTCCTGAGAAACGGACTCGTCAGCGGTTTCGATCTGTAGCTTTATTGCCTGTGCTCTGAGCAGCGGGGTCGAACCCGGGGAGGTGATGATGTCCTCTATCATTTTGACGCAGACAGCAGAGCTGAGAAGTTGTCTTTGAGCGACGGGCGGTGCTCTAGCCAGTGCCATGCAGTCTGAGGCGACTTGGAGGGCTTCTCGCTGTCTGTTAGTGTCCAGCAGCCTGCGGAATGCCAGATGCATCCAGGCGATGGCTGTTTCTGGACGATCCCATGCTCTTGGATCGTGGCATTGACTGGTTAAGCAAAGAAGCTTGTAGTAGGACGAGCTTGTCTTGATCTGGGCGAACAATCAGCGATGTTGGTAATGGATGCCAGTCCGCTTGGACTTACGAAAGGGGCACCGAATTGTTCAACGAGACCAGCGTCGCGCACTTCAAGGAGCCGCCGAAACACATCAGCTGCTTGAGCGACAACTCCCTGAAACGACGCCAGGACGAGTGGCCGCAGACGAAGCGCATCCATCTGAAGCTCCAAGAACACCGGCTGTTGTTCCATTGCCGACTGTGGTGCGGAATTAATCTCTTGCTCAAGGTTGTCAAACGAGTCTTTGCAGCGCCCTTGAGTTCTCAGGGCCGTTGCGAGCTCAACAACAAGAGAAAGGCGGTCAAGGCCTTTTGTTGCAGCCAGCCCGCGCCGCAGCCTTCCCGTTGCCTCATCGTACTTTCCTAGGTCTGCGAGGCGTCGAGCCTCCGATATTGTTTCCTCCATAAGTATATCGGGCCCCGAAGCGTCGAGTCGCGAACTTCAGATCCGGGCGTGTAAGTCTCGAATGAAGGACACTCCTCACCACGGAACTGGTCGCTCTTT